TCGATAATTATATTTGTTACGTTTTTAAATATTTCTTATTTATATGATTTAGGATATAAATAATACAGTTTAATTTATAAAACCATTTGGATCAAATGTGTTCTTATTCTGTTAATAGGAATGTGAGGCTCAATCGTAGAAATTAAATAAGAAACAAAATGTGTGACTAAGATTTAATTTTATAAATTTTAATTATTTAAATATTGATTTGACTGTTGACTGGCAGTGTTGACTGCAGAGTTGACTGTTGCCTTTTTGGTGTTGACCATTGATTTAATAGTGATGACCATTGACCACAGTATAAATTATGTATAAGTAAATGTGCACTAAAAAATATGCAATTGTTATGAACTAAATATTCATTATGCTCCGTCAATCGTCCATCTCTAGACTACATATGCATGAATTAAATATGGAATCATAATATGTACTAGATATCAAATAAGTATGCATTATTTATGAATTAAATATACATTATGTATTAACTAAATATTTATTTTGTATGCATTAAATGTGTTATCAAAATATGAAATTGAGGACTATATCCTAAAGTCGTATTATTAAATGTTGTATGCATTAAATGTGTTGTCAAAATATGAAATTGTCAAAATATTATAGCTATTGTCTTTGTATTCTTTATTAAGTGTGAATAATGAATGGGCTAAATATGTATTATTTAATATAATAAGAAATAATAATTAGTATATTAACTTAATTATATAATAAAAAATGAAATAGATTGGTTTGGCAGCCGGCTATGGGTCAATTATTTTTATTATATAATTAATTTAAATATAATCATTATTATTTTTATTATATAATTAATATAAATCTCAATTGATTAATATGAACTACTGATTCTATAAAAATCAAACGATTAGGATTGAATATTACATATTTATTTTGAGATTGAGCATTAAATAATCATTTTAAGACAATGTTCTACTTCTATTCAACCCATAGTATTGAATAAACCGTAATAAAATATTGTATAAAAGACAATTATTTTAATTTGTGTTTGGAAATAAGTCTTTTTATTCGGCATAACCTAGATATGGCCACGGGCCGACCCGGCCCATAGACCCAGACCGAAATCGGTCCCGAACCGGCCCTTAATTGGCCACCTAAGGGCCGGTTCGTTTAACCGGACCGCCTGGTCCTGGCGATATTTTCTTTTTGTCCTGGCGGTCTAGTCCGGGCCGGGTCGCGGACTGAAAGTCGGGCGGGTGTGGAAATTCCACGGGCTGGGCCCGGTTCAGTTCGATGAGCAGGTCCTAAGCAATTTCCGGTTCAGTCGCGGGCCAGGATGTTGAGGAGCATCGGCCCGGCGGACCGGCCCGGGTCTGGCCCGGGCATGTTGACTGGCCATGTCTAGCATAACCTTAGTTTGCACTCGGGATCTTTCACATGTGATTCAGTGCAAAGATTTTGTTGTTTTTGAGATTAATGCAAAAGTGAAAAGAATGCAATTAGTCTCCCAAACAACGTTTCCTTTTTCACGCCGTTTTTACAGGTCTAATCCAAAACCGTACCAATCATTAATTACGTTAATCTTGAGAAACGAACGAAAGACACAATTATTAGACTTTCTTTGTTCTAATCATTAGCTTCAATTAAGAATGAGAAACCAATTGCATATTTTTTATACAAATAATCTCAATTCATACTCAAAATCTAACTCAAATTTAACATAATTTTATTATTCTAAATATTATTAATATAATTAAATAATATCAATTAATTATTCTTACACGTCACATCAACTTTAATTCACTATTCATCCACTCACATAATTTTAACTAGAGAAATGATATAAGTACATAATATTATACATAGGGGTGTACATAACACTCACATTGAGTGAGACCGACCAAAAATAAAAAAATCAAGTGGATCCCACTCCATGTGAGTGTTATGTACAGCTCTATGTACATTTATTATGTATTTGTAGCATTTTTCTTTTAACTAACTATCATTTCACATCATCGCTCTCATACTTTTACATCAAATTAACTTTAATTATTTTATTTGAAATATTATTTCAACATAAATTCAGAATCCCACTAATAACTAACCATATCATATTTTTTTAAATTGACTCTGGTTAAACAAAAAAATTCATTTTGAATGGATATATTTGTATAAAAACATGCCCTAACAACCGAAGCTGCTTTAAGAAACACTAGTATAGTACCCGGGCGATGCACGGGGCTTTATTATTTTTTTCTCTTTTAGTATTCAAGTCAAATTATATAATAAAGGAACGATCATGATATTAATAAATATAATAAAAATAAAATTCATATATTATTGAACACTTCCTTATATACAATGCCCATAGGTTGAAATCATACTCAAGGTGACACGTATTTTTTTACGATTTTTAATTTGAATCATCAAAGATCAAATAAAAAATGTGCCTTTCAACAAAATATTTTGTTAATCGTCGCATATTTCCCAAAGTTCGATATCAAATAGGAGTCTTACGGCCCAAACTCAATATACACTCACGTTATAAGGCAAAATGTTTGTTCTTACATGTTTTTTTTTCTTAAACATATTTTTTGTTCTCGTTATTGATTATTCCTATTATATTTGTTGAAGTTTAGAGATGAAACATCTGAATATATTTTATTAGAATATGTATTCGTGTGTTTGTACTATTACATGNTGAAATTGATTGTTTTTTTTTTAGAATTTTGAGGTTCAAAGACGAAGCATCTTCATATAATTATTAGAGCATGTATTAGTACAAATGGAAATGGTTTATGAATGTTCATATGCTATGGCGGATCCACATATGGGCCAGCCTAGGCAACTAGGCTGGATTTTTGGTATTAACTTCATATCATTACATGTGTTAATTGTAAATTTATATTTAATATTTCTTAAAATATAAATACAAGTTCTAATTTTAAAATTTTAAATAATTCTTACAACATAACATTATTTTTTATTTAAAATGATACACCTCACCTGTCAAATTTGATTGCATTATGTTACAATATTTTTAGTATTTATACTATATAATAGGCTTGATAGTTAAAGTTTGTGAGAATAGATATTAAATATTCTATTAAATTGTAAAAGATCTTTTTCCCATAAAAAAACCGAACTAAAATTTAGAATTCTTAAGCAGTATAATCCAAGAAGATATAGATGCATTAAATTCTCAATAACCAACCTTAATAGGTATGTTAATTGTTTGTTTAATGTTTGTCCCATTTTTATTGCGTTTTTCGTGTTTATTTCATCTTTCTTTTTCTCCTGTTTTAGGTTGTTTCTTTAGTTTTTAGTCCGTTTCGTATTTTATTATGTGTTTTTCTTGATTTTGAGTCTTTAGTTGTTTTTTCGTTTGTTTTCCCGGTTTTCTTCGTATTTTGTCGTTTTTGGTGCGTAGGTCGGGAGCTTCGGACGAATTTTCTCTTCATCAAAAGTTTGTTCCGAGCACATAGTTTAGTAAAAGGGTTCGTTGGCGACGCATAGCAAAAAACGAAACTCAATTCCGAGTTCGGACGAGCCCAAACGAGCCCGAAACGTAAAATTGCGCAGTGCAGTCCAAAGTCGCGACTCGCGAGAGCGAAGTCGCGAATCGTGAGACGAAAGTCGCGACTCACGAGAAAAACAGAGCCTTAAGGTGCAGTACGCGAGCATGAGTCGCGACTCACGACATGCAGTCGCGACTCGCGAGTTAGGTCGCGACCAAACCCCAGAAATTGAAGATTTTGACGACGCGCGACTCGCGAGGAAGTCACGACTCGCGACCGGGAAAAAGGTGAAGTCGCGACTCGCGACTTATCGGCGCGAATATTGAGGAGCGGGTTTAAAACTCATTCCTTTTCATGCTAGGGCTGATAATTCACTTCCAGACTTTGTTTTTAGGCTTTTTCTCTCTAGAAACTCATTCCTTTTCATGCTTTTTCACTTTTGATTGGATTTGGAGATTGAAAAACTCCTTTTTCTTGCTTTAGATTTGGATTGTTCATTGGATTCGACTCTTGATTCTCTATTAATCGTAAGTTTTCCTTTTCAATTAATCCTTGAATATGAATGCTTGGGTTCTTGAGATGAATTGTGTTGAACTCTATATGAGTAACTAATTCGTTCGGTAGGGATAGGGGATGATGATGATGTTCAGAATTTAATTGTGATTATCATGCTTGTTGATCGTTCAATTTATGCGAGTTGTTCTTAACTAGGTTTTATAATTCTCGTACATTGAATGTTAAATATTGTCAAAGAGTGACACTTCGATTAGCAATTGATTTCCAATTGAATATGATTCGTTCTTTTCTGATGTGTTTAAATCCAACGAACTAGTAGATTAACAAGTAATTAATCAACTCTTAGAACCGAAAGGGGAGGAGTTGATTGATCTAGGTTACATGAAATAGACTTGTTCGGAAACATATTGTCTATGTGTTGAGTGATTTGTGTGGTTTACCGTCTATGTTACCCTCTTGTTACGAAGAGTTATTGAGGACTACCTCTAGACGTTAGGTTGTTCGAATCATTTAACCGAATGATCTTAGCTTGATAGTTGCATTGGTTAGAAAATCATCATCCCCGACTCCTTAGCTTCTTATCATCATTTGATCTCCGTCTTTGCTTTTTAGTTCGATTTTGCATTGTTTGAGTTTTCTTTCGTAGTTTATAATTAAAAACCACTATCTTGATTAGAGTGTTTAGGATTTATTTTTCTTTTATGTGTTATCAACACCATTTCTAGATTCCGAACCGCCTTCCTCGAGAGATCGACCCGGGGAGCGAATCTTTCGATTCGGTACTCGGTAAAAATATATTTCGCTACAACATTTAACAAACTCCATCTGATGAGGTATAGATGCATTAGGATTCTTTGTTAATTTGTTTAACAAAATGATTAGATTTGTTAATTCCATCTATTCAATCGCCCATCATCATCAACATCACCAGTACCAAACACGAGAAAAACTGAAAACCCTCTTTTCAGCCCACCACTCGCACACCTAACCTCATGAATGGCTGATAAACCAACCAAGCACAAAATCAAGAGCAAAAAGCATAAACACCAGCATCCAGACGACCCGGCGTCGGCATATTCCACCGCCGATATCTCCTTCAAGCCCTCCTCCGATGTCAAGTGACTCCGATTCGGAGGCCGCAGAGCGGCTGTGGTGGTTTTCGTGTTCGAATTGGAGGGGCTGAGGGCGGCCGCGAATCGGCTGTAGCCGACAGAGATGTCGCTAGGAGAGGTGAACTGGAGGCTGATTCGGGAGATGGCGAGTTGCGAGATGGCGCAGTTCAAGTTACGGAAGAGGAGGTGCGAATAGTAGTGTACGCGGTGAGGAGGTGCGGCGAATCAGGTCTGAGGGAGATTCTGCAGGCAGTGGCGGCGCTCAAGGATTTCCTCGACTAGCATCGCCATAATTTAAAGCTGCCCTCTTTTTTTTGAAAAAGAAAAAAAAAAAGTTACTAAGAATAGTAGGTAACAATGTTGATCAAAATTTGATTAAAGTTTGAGTTACTATTTTTGAAAAATGTTAATTCTTATTATATAGATATATAGATTGAGTCAAGTGTCCAATCATACAAATTGTGATATGAGTCCCCACTATAATTTTGAAATATATAAATATTTATGTTACATATACTCTTATTTATCGGCTATTCTTACTAAATCCTTAGTCCCTTATTCAAGTTCTTTGTCAGTCCCTACACAGTTTTTTTTTCCTGTGCACTCCTTACACCTTTCTTTTCTTTCCTCTTAACCACACACACACACACACACACACACACACACACACATATATATATATATATAGGATTTAGTTCAAATGAGAACCAAGTCCTAGCGTGAGAACCGTGAGAACTGCTATTTTTAATTGTATGAAGTGCTATGATTGAGTGTGTTTTAGTGCTATTTTTAACCAGGATATATTTTATTAAAAATAGCAACACAATTTATATTAACATTTGTAAAAATGATAGCATCATGTAATACTAAAAATAGCATCATACACAATTAAAAATAACATCATAAAAAAAAAAAAGTCGTCCCCACACCTGCTTTTCTCTCCGGGAACACACCATCTCCGTCTCCGGTCACTTCTCCAAAATTGTAATCGGAATTTACATCCCGCCACCTTCGTGAAGCTCGGCCCGCCATCTCCATAAAAGGATTCACCCGTCATCTCCATCTTGTTTGATCCGTCCCACTTACACCGTTGTCTTCGCGAAGCAACAAATGGCGGACTCAAAATTTAAATCCTCATTTAACAAACCATCTTTCTCTACGTCGAAGCTAACAAATAAGGTTATTGTTGTATAATTCAAATTTTAGGATTTTTTTTTTCTCAAAATTTTGATTTAGTTGTAAAATTTAATTTTTTTTAAGAATTGGGGTTTTGTTAGATTAATTAGAGTTCTTTGAATTGAAAAAGGAATCTTGGTTATATCTATTCAGAATTGGGGATTTTCAGTTTTGGTCTTAAAAAGAGACATTAAGGTTGATTCAATTTATTTATTTATTTATTTATTGTACATTTGATTGTTTTATTATGTTCTGTGGAAGAAAACAACAACATGACAGCTTCTTAGCCTACATTATATGTTTGAAAATTTGTTTTGTTTTACATTTTTGTTAAAGGGTAATGAATGGAGATCGAGATGTTCGCCTGCATCTTTCAAAGATATCATGAAAGATGTTAATTTTATTTAATAATAAAATCATCTTAAATGGCTTTTCATATAAAACGGAAAAAAATAAGAAAATAAAGACAAAATTTTGAAATTTATCCACTATATATTGACCAATTTGCAAAAATGGTCCGTTATACTCACGCCCATCAATTTTAGCATGTTAAATTACTAATTTCATTATAGCAGACCAATTTATCAACTTTGATGTGCTAATTTATAAAATTTGTTAACTTGATAAAATTTACTAATAATTGACATACCAAATTTGATGAGTCAGTTTGCTGGACTAATTTTCAGAAATGTTCAACATGACAAACGATTTCATATTTTCGAAAGAAAATAAAATTATTTTTAGCAAAAATAGTTTGATTTATGTTGCCAACATATGGGTTTTTCATATATATTTAATCATTCATATTTATGTGAAGGTTGTAAAGCACTAGAGTATTTGAAGACATGGTGCACAGTATTGCCACCAAGTTCAAATATTTGTGAACTTTACTCCATAATCAACTAGCCATTCAAAAACAAAATAAATTGCATATACTATCTAGGACGTAACATTCAACAACAACGAAAAGAACCCTCAAAAGAAAGTAAAAAAACAAATTTATATTGTAGGTCAGGCAGGATATATAAAGGAATAAAGTTTGTGGCACTAAGATTAAATAGTGTGGCAAGTGGAGGAATTGAAAGCATTGTGAATACTGGTTAGTCAAATGGAGCAAAGTAGAAACTTAGAAGGCCAGTGATGAACAAGCTGGATGCCATGCATGTCTACTCCTATCAAATCTGCTGACCTAACTAATATTCTGTTATTCTTTTTCTTTTTTTCCAAGGCAAACAACAACAATACATTAAAACTCGTAATAAAGTACAATCGCATGATCAAATGATCATACGTTCAACCTGTTAGGAAAAGCAAAGAAAAATTCTATGGCAGAAATGGTAATCACTCATTTTCATGTTGATTTTCTTTGATTGCTCAATCATAATGATTGTTACAGACTCAGGAGGTATATATACCAAGTAGAGAGCATAATAGAATCTAAGGAAAAAGTTAAAAAGAGCATTACAAAAATGCAGAGGTAGGCAACGGGTATATCAACTAAAAGACAAAAGACCCTAACAAACTTGTCCTTCATGACAGTTGTGCATGGCTGCATGTGGGCTCGTAGATGGGCTTGCATGTGGGCTGTGAACAATATTATCAAGGCTGCAAAGGTAAGAGCCCATTCCTTTATCACGCCCCCTCAATCCAAACGAGAAAAAAGAACAGACATGAAGCTTTGTTCGAAAACGAGTGACGAAAACGATTGAAGGATTGACCAGAGAGAGGCTTAGTGAGTATATCTGCAATTTAGTCTGTGCCAGGAATATGTAGAACGACCACTTCTCCATTTTTGACCTTTTTCCTGATAAAATGAATGTCTATTTCGACATGCTTTGTTCTGGAATGGTGCACAGGGTTTAGAGAAAGATGAACAACACCTAGATTATCTGACCAAAGTGTAGGGACCTATGAGGGTGTCATGTTGATCTCCTTGAGAACAGACCATTCCAACTCAATTCACATAGAGCATGAGCAATGCTTTTATACTCTGCCTCTGTACTCGAGCGAGATATTCTGAGCTGCTTCCTAGAGTACCAAGATATGAGATTACTCCTCATATATATGCAAAAACCAAAGATTGATTTTCTGTTATCTAAATCTCTTCCCCAGTCAGAATCAGAAAATAATGTGAGGCTGTTGTGAGCAGATGGTGTAAAGTTAAGACCAAGGTCAATAGTTCCTGACAAGTATCTCAAAATTCTTTTTACAGCTTTCTAATGAGGTTCCTTTGGATCATGCATGAACTGACTCACCTTGTGCACACTGAAAGCAATATCTGGCCTTGTGATGACAATGTACTGCAATGCTCCCACAATGCTTCTATACAAGGTAGGATCAACCATCATGCTTGGTCAAAATAGGAGATGTCACCATAGGTGTATTCAATCCCTTTGCTTCTTGCATATTAAACATGTTTAAGAGTTTTTGAATGTAACTCTCTTGCTTCAAGTGAAGACCAGCTGTTGTTTTATTTATCTCAATGCTAAGAAACAAATGTGGTTCACCCATATCTTTCAAAGGAAAAATCTTGTTTAGCTTGGAAATGAAGTGCTGGATCTCTTCTTCATTATCTCTTGCAACAATGACATCATCTACATACACCAATAGCAAAATAGAGGAGGAGTCTGAATGCTTGAAAAATAATGAACTATCAGCCACTGAGGGAGTAAAACCAAGACTGTATAATGTCTCTTTCAGTGTTGTAAACCATGCTCTTGATGCTTGCTTAAGGCCATAAATTGCCTTATTTAGCTTACAAACAACTTTCCTTGAATCTCCCTTTTCAAAACAAGGTGGCTGCACCATATATACTTCATTTTCGAGTTGGCCATTCAAAAATGCATTATCAAAGTCAAGTTGTCTGATAAACCATGACTTTGACAAGGCTATAGACAAGACCATTGTGATTGTTGTTGGCTTGATGACAGGGCTGAAAGTCTCATCATAATCCTGGCCAAAGGTTTGAGAAAAACCTCTAGCCACCATCCTTGCCTTGTACCTGGAAATAGAGCCATCATCATTGGTTTTTAGCTTAAACACCCATTTGCAAGTGACTGTGTTCTTTTCAGCAGGTCTTGGAACTAGAGACCATGTTTCATTTGTCACCAAAGCATTATATTCCTCGTTGCATAGCTGTTTTCCAGTGAGGATGAGCAAAGGCTTCATGAAAGCTTGAAGGTTCTGTGGTTTGAGCAAGGTGTGTGTGTGATAGAGCTTTGGTTTACATATGTATGCCTTAGATCTTGTTACCATTTGGTGAGTACCTGCATCATGGTTTGGTGGTGCTTGTGGTGCAGGTAAAAAATTTTCACAAGGCAAATCAACAAATAACTCATGAGGTGAATGTAATGAAATTGTTTGATGAGAAGAGCTAGAAGTGTTTGAGTTTGGTGTAGAGTGTCTTGAAGCACTTGCTTGAGGTGAAACAGGTATAGCAATGTTAACTTTAGGAAGATGTTTAGGAACAGTGATAAGAGAAGGAGTAGGTAAAGTAGTGCAAATGGGTTTTTCTTTTGATTCAGTTTGAGCCTCTTTAGAAAAAGGGAAAAATCTTTCATCAAAAACAATATTCCTAGTAACCATGATCTTCCCTGATGGAAGAAAAACCTTGTATCCCTTGTGTTGGAAACTGTATCCTATAAAAGTGCTAGGAGTGGACCTATAATCCAATTTGTTTTTGTTAAGAGGCCTGAGATGAGGGTAGCAAAGACACACAAAAACCTTTAAGTTGGCATAGTTTGGCTTCTGTTTATAGCAAGACTCCAAAGGACTTTTGTATAAGAGCTGTTTTGAGGGAGTCCTATTTATAGTATAAACTGCAGATGCAGAAGAATCATCCTAAAATCTTTGTGGCATACTACTGTGAGCAAGAAGAGATAAGCCAACCTCAACTATATGCCTAGGCTTCCTCTCAGCTACTCCATTTTGCTGAGGGGTATAAGGACAAAAATACTTATGTCCTATACCATTTTGTTCAAGAAAACTTGTCAAGGCCTTAAACTCACCTCCCCCATCAGTCTGAATAATTTTTATCCTTTTATTAAGCTAATTTTCAACAAAAGACTTGAAGTGCATGAAGACTGGTAACGTATCACTTTTGTTTTTCAAAAAATATATCCAAGTGTACTTAGTGGCATGATCAATAAAGCTAATATAGTATCTGTGACCATCACTTGAAGGGATTGGTGATGGACCCCAAAGATCACTATGAATTAAGGCAAGAGGTTCAGAATAAAGACTTTGGGAAATGGCAAAAGGTAAAACTTTACTCTTGGACTTCAAACAAGCATCACATAAACCCTTCATTTCATTTGGAAGAAAAGGAACATTAAAATGATTCAAAGCCTTTCTAACAATCTCAAAAGCTGCATGTCCCATCCTAAAATGCCAGACATCTAAACTATCTGTCTTAAGGCTAACATAATTAACTGAAAAAGGAATTTTATTCTGAAGGGAGTCTTTAATTGAGAACTTGTCTTCTTGACCATTAGCTGCCTTTGGGAAGTGGAAATAATATGGGCCATCTCTAAGTTTCCCTCTGAGAAGAGTCACTCCTGTGGCTAGATCCTTCACAAGACAGAACATGGGGTGAAATTCAAAAAACACATTATTATCTTGAGAAAAATGGGAAAGACTAAGTAAATTTTTGGTTATCTGAGGAACATGCAAAAGGTTCTTTAGGACAAAATTTCTTTTTGGAGAATGCAAGGATGAAGAATTAATTGTTGATTTGCCAATATGAGAAATTTTAAGACCTGTGCCATTTCCAACATGAAGCCTATTCTGCCCTTGGTAGTCACTTGCAATGCTGAGGTTGCTTATATCATTGGTCACATGATTTGTAGCCCCGGAGTCTGGATACCAACAAGATTCTTGTGGAAGATCATTTTCAGCAATGCTGTTAATTTGGATAGGAGCTGCTGCCTGCAAAATTAGCCTGAGTGTTGTTGTTTTGGTTTCCTTGAGGCACATGAACACCATAGCTGGCATTAAACCGATGATAACACCTATCTGCACCGTGTCCAAGCTTGTGACAAACTTGGCATTGAAAATTTGATCTCCCTCCTAAGTTGTTTCTGCCTCCTCTACCCCTATATCCACCTCTATAGGGGTTTCTTCCTCTTCCTGTTCCATTTGACTGGTTTCTGTCAAAATTTTCATAGGAAAAATTCTGATTTCTTGGCCCTGAATGAGTACTAAGGTTAGCACTTGGCCCTGATAGGTCACTGTTAACAACACTTAAGTTCATAGCTTCCAATCTGCTTTCATAACTCAACAGCATACCATGGACATCTCTCATGGAAACTGGCTCTATCCTTGATGTTAGAGAGACAATAACTGGATTGTATTCTTGCCCTAGGCCAGAGAAGGTGTAGAGCATTTGGTCCTCTTCAGAAATTCTTTCA